TTTTTTTGGTACTGGGGATTGAACTTGCAAATTTGCGCTTGTGAGGCAGGTGGTGAAAAGGCTGGGCTGTCTTATTCCTCAGCTTCAGAGCATGTGACAACTGTTTGTGACACACAAAGTGACTCCTTAATTACCTGTAGCATCTTAAAAATCAACTTATGAAATACATAAACTTCTTTTCATGATCTGTAGTGTTTGGAACTGAAATCAGAGCTTCACACATGATAGGCAAGAGATCTAAAACAGATCCAGACCCAGGCCCCAGTAGAGTGTCTGTGACGTGTGTGTGTGTGTGTGTGTGTGTGTGTGTGTGTGTGTGTGTGTACTGAGAAGGCCTGGCTGTGGGTCTCGTTCCCATGAGGCAATACAATGCAAGCAAGACAGAGAACAAAAGAGAGACACAAAAACAAGACAGAGAGAAAGCTGGATCTTGACTGCTCTGGGCAACAAAGACAAAAGTCACCAAAGATGTCCAGTATTTATTGACTACAAATACGGGAGGAAGAAGAGCAGTGTGCGCTGAGACATCTGGTGACAGAGTGCAAAGCATCTGGTGATAGCAGATGTCACGGGCAGGGCTATAAAGGGGGAAAGTACTGCTAATCTTTCTAGAGAGAACAAACGGGAACTGGGATGGTGTCGTTAACCAGCAACCCAACCCTGAGTGAGGGAAACCGTAGTTCAGGGGAAAATAACTTATTACCGGGGTCAGGCTGACTTGGGCTGGAAGTTAACTCAGCCGGGCCCTGCCACCTCACAGAGCAGGACTTAGGTCTCCATGGCAGCCACTGGGGGAACAGCAACGCTCACCAAACCCTGCCTTCTGATGTGCCCTCGGAGTCACGTAAGGCTTCAGTCAGACGCCTAATATAATACCACAAAATTGCGAGGAAGCAAGAAGCTGGTGCCACTGATCGCCTGCTAGCACTGGGCAGTTTTGTCTGCTATGCGTGTATATCACTAGGAATTGAAACCACGGCATCTGCATTGAGCCACTTTCCTAAGCTTTTTAAATTTTAAGTCAGGGTCTCTGTAAATCACTAAGTCACCCAGGCAGACAAATGAGCTTCTAAATCATGTTTCTCAAAGTGAAGCTATCTGAAAAGAAGCAACGGATGCTGCTACGTTTCAAAGAGACTTCTTTTCAAATGCCTCTCATATGAAACAAAATCGTGCTAAAGAATGTAATCGGTGTTGGATAGGCACCTCCATCCTTAGGGTATTCCGGCACATCGAGACTTCTGTTTGATTTCTCTTCGGTCTTATCTCTTTGATTTTGTTATTGTTGTTTGTTTGGCTTGTGGGTTTTGTTCTTTTCTTGATGATAACTCTTGATGTTATCAGGTACCTATTTTATCATCATCAAGTGAAACTTTAGAGGCCATTACTTCAGATAATATGTGCAGAACAAACCCTTCGGGGTCCTTCTTCCTGTAGCATGTGTGTTACCTGCTGCGGTTCAGGGCTGAGTCTAAGAAGTGCAGCAGTCCGCTTCAGTGCGGCCCCGTTTCAGTTTTCGTCCGCTCCTCACACACGGAGAGTTGACCGGTAGAAATCTCTCGATCCACGGCCCTTGTTGAGGAAACGGATTCCGTCCCTGCTGCTCATCCACCCTGCGCCCCTTACCCATCAGTCTCGAGGCCACACTCTCGGTGCTCTCTTCCGAACATGCTTCTTGCCGTCTCACAGTGTGGGCGGGCTAGGAATTTTCAAAGGCTTTTACGTGCAACTTCTTTTTGCTCTCCGATTTCCGTTTAGATCATTTCACTTTTCTCACGTCTGAGCGTGGCAGTTAGGACAAATCACACCACCGCTTCGCGGGCTCTTTAAAGACCTCCTCCGCGGGACGTCCCTCCTCTCACCCTACGACAGGGCACTGGAACTGCACGCGGCAGCCAAGGTCTCTGTCACAGCTGTAAAAGGAAATGTGAAGTCCAGAACCACAGGAGACGCGTCAGACCATGCAGATACCCGCACTAATCACAAGCTCCTGACTCTCGCACTGTCTTTTGAAGGAAAACTGTATCTGCGTGTTTGGGGCATAGGAAGTTGAAAGTTCTTGCACCTGCAGTTAAACAATATTATTAAGCCAGACACAGCTTATGAAATCCGGAGCACAGTGTCAATTCACAAGCCTTTGACAATAGCTCTCCTTCATATACTTTCTGATTGATAAAAACACTACTAGTGGAATTTAGCTTCTCCGCTCAGGGTGAACTGTTACAGGTTCCATCACAATGACTTCATGAGCGAACAGAATCCCAAACTTCTTTTCCACACAACTGTACTCAAAATATTCTGCTGTTGCAGAGGACGACTGGAATATAAGATCTATTCCTGTACTCTCAAGCCAGTGCTTTATTATCTTTATTATTATTATTATTATCAGTTTGTAATAATGTCTCACATCTGGTAGGACAAGTTCTGTTCACAACTTATTTTTCTCTAAAATTCCATATAAATCTTTGAGTTGAACACAAAATCTTCTCAAATATTTTATTGAAATTTCATAGAGTTTATCAATTAATATGGGGAGACATGACATTTATAGTATTAAGTGCTCACCCATGGAACTGGTCTGTTTTGACCTTCTTCTGTTATTACTAAGTGACGTGAAAAAAATTATTGTCAGATTTACATGTAAATGCTTCTTGTGGGTTGATATTGAGATATATTTTCAATGTTTTTCTTCCTTTTCTAAGAGAAATATATTGACTTTTGTGCATTAGCCTAATGTCAAATGACCGGTCTACTGCACTAAAGATTTCTCCTACAGCTCTGTCATTTTCCATAGAGAAAACTGTGTCAGCTGAGAGGAATAACTGTCATGGTCTCTCCCTCCGTTGCCACCCTACATCTTCCTTTTCTTCTGTGCGTCCTTCCAAGGCTTCAAATAAATGCTAAGCAAAATCCATCTCCTTCCTTCCTTTACAGCCACTGCTTCTCAGGACTTCCTGAAAACTGCAGTGCTTAAGGCAGCAAGGGTAGAGCATCTTTGCCAAGTTGAAAATTCTTCCTCTATTTACATTTTGTTAATATTTTCTCATGAAACGTGATGGGGTTTTATTTCCTTTAATGTGTTAATGCACCAAGTTATTTCATCAAGCTTCCAAATTCTGATTCCTGGGATAACTGCAACGGGGCCACGATTGTGCACAGAAAATGCTCTTTGCTGAAGTCTGCTGTTTGCTACAACAGGAGGTCAGCTGCTAATCCAGGCCCTCCTTCCATTTGGTGACCTCTGCCAACCTGGCACACTCTGCTCAGCCCACATCCCCGAGCAGAGCCAGCCTGCTGCACCCTGGGGCCCTGCACCCCTGGGCAGCTCCCCGGACTGTGGGACAGATGAGAAACTTGGCCAGCACTGCTGAGAGACAGGGCTAACCCGAGTGTCCACTGCTGTCCGCTCCCTGTGCCAGCCGGAAGCTGTAACTGGTTCCATAACCCATGATCTTCCTCCTGAGGGCCAAGTAACCCCCGTATGCCCCACATAGATGTTGTCCTTTATTTCCAGCTGATACAAACCTGAAGAAGAAAATAGAAGCCTCCTTCGATCTCTACAACCATTTGTTTAATATATGGCTGGATTTGGTGGCAGGATGCGTGTTTTCAACTTGTTTACATCTATATGCACAAGTGGATGACGTTCTAATTCTCCTTCGTCATATTTTGGTAGGTATTCAGGTTACATCTGCCTCATAAAATGCCTTGGACAATCTTCATATTACTCATTGTGACAGGAGATTGTGTGATATTAGAATTCATTGTTTCATAAGTGTTTGATACATGTTGTCTAATATAGAGAGCTTGAGTGTTTTTGAGACTATATTTTAAAATAGAAAAGCAACTATTTAATGCCTTAAAAGTTTTTAAACATTTTCCAAGCATGAATGCATGCAAATATGCACGCCCATGCTTTTGCATAATCACATTACCACTTCTAACCCCTTACCATTCCTTCAAAGCACAAATACTCAGAACAAAAACAACACATCAAATTATATCTATGACACAAATGATCGTGATTCAACAAACATCACGTACCAGACACACGATGCTGGAATGAAAACAAGTTTTAATATCACCCCTAATGTTCTTAAGGAAATGAGTTTGACACAGGATGGACGTAAACATGGACGAAAAACCTAAAATAAAAATGACTGGATAAAATTGAAGGTTTCCCTCCACTCATAAAAAAATAAAAAAGAAAAGGACAAAGTTCATAAAGAACAAAATGTGAGAAAATCTTTGTCAAGCAGCAACTAAAGAGAGATTCAAAAGCAGGAGAAACAAAAACCATTTCTAAACCCACTCAATGGAAACGTGAGCAGATTGCAGTTTAACCTGGCACTCACGGTGCTGGTCACCATGTTTCCAACAGCTACATCCTGGTTGCCGTCCTGAGGGTGCCGTCTGCTGCCAGGAGGGACCAAGCCTTCTCCACATGCACCTGCCCCCGCCAGCAGTCACCAACCTCTGCAGGACCCCGTCTTGTGTGTATCTTCACCATCACACCTGAACTCAGGAGAAGGAAAAGGTAGCTTCTGTGCTTTACAGCATAATTACTCCTGTGTTAAACCCCTTGATCTACAGCCCAAGAAGCCAAGATGCGATAGGAGCTTTTTGTAAAAATGTAGGAAAGAGCCTGGTGTGGTGGCGCATGCCTGTAATCTCAGCACTCGGGAGGTTGAGGCAAGAGGATCGCTGTGAGTTCGAGACCAGCCTGGGCTACATAGTGAGCTCAGGTCAGTCTCAATTACATAGTGAGAACCTATCTCAAAAAACCAAACAAACAAACAAAAAAATTTTGCTGCCTGTTCTCTGATAATCCCATATCATTTTCTAACTTTTTAAATTATTAGACAAAAATGCTAGAAGTAAATTTCTCAGCTTTATTCTTTTCCCAAGAGAATGAAAATGCAATGTGGATATGACAGAATATTCTAGAATTAACATTATTTTTTTACACTTGTTAAAAAAAAAAAAAAAAAAAAAAAAAAAAAAGGTGGGAAAGAACTGCTCCTAGCTTGAGTCATGTCTCTTGTTACTCCTCTACAGCTATGTGTTTTATTACTGTTAAAATTTGAAAGATCATTCCTTTGGGTGCTATGTGCAGAACAGAGGAGCAGGACAGAAATGGTGACACCTTCACAGGCAGAGCGTCATTAGGAGCCAATATCCATTCCTATCTTGCTCTCCAGAATGAAAGTTGGAGATTGGCAAGGACCCAAGAAGATGTGTTGCACATCAGTTTTATAGTTGACAGATATAACCTAAGCCAGGTGTGGTGGCACAGGCTTGTAATCCCAGCACTCAGGAGGCTGAGGCAGGAGGATCGCTGTGAGTTCGAGACCAGCCTGGGCTACACAGTGAGTTCCAGGTCAGTCTCAACTACATAGTGAGACCCTGTCTCAAATAAACAAACAAACAAAAATCCAAAACAAAAACTATTATATATATATATTCTGAATGTTCAGCTATATCTCTTAAAATGTATGTGTCTTAGCAAAGCAAACCCCAAGAAACATCAGGTTCATTCACCCAAAACTGATGCTTTGTATTACTCAGTCTTCAAAATTTTGCAATTCTGGCTCCCTAAATGAGAAACCAAAAATGTGAATAATTTAGCAAAACAAAAGAGAAATGGTAGGAAACAGGGAGGTAGGTTTTGTGGGGATGGGAAATCGCACACAGGACTGTGGGGAGGGGTAAAAATGCTCAAACTTCCATAGGTATAGGCACCAGTTACCCAAGATGAAGGTAATTATCACGTATCACAAACATATGCAACAGCGCGAAGAATGACTGTGAATTCTATGAGCACCTACCCGAGGGGGGAGCTTGATTAGGCGAACTAAGGACTGCGGAGATTCAGTAAAATACGTTGCAACCACGCAGAGTGAGGCTACGCTTTCCGTACTAATGCAGACAAACCATGCGGAAATGTCAAACTGAAAGGCAGGGCGCAGAGCGACATGAGGGGCGCTCAGTCCCTGTGGAGCGGTGGGGGGGTGCAGCGTGTAGATATTAGCACATCTCTAAGGGCAACACGACGCTGCTCTCTGCAGAATAACAAGGGCAGTCGCCACAATTTCCTAGGAAGAAACTGGATAGCGGGGTCCAGGAACAGAGGGAGATGTGGCTTTTATTCTGCACATCTCACACTTCAGAATTGTTACCATTTGAATGGCTTTGACACTTGCCCCAAAAAAACAATAACAGGAAGGGAAGAAAAGGGGGGAGGGGAAAGGAGGGGAGAAAGGGGGAG